TTCTGCCCTGATCAGGATCATTTGCACTCCTTTCTACCTGTGAGGTTCTAGGTTGGGGCAGACCTATGGTCTCCTTCTGCTGGGGAAGACTTCAATATGCAGAGGCCGCCAGAGCAGAGGCACCGAGCTGCGGGGGCCAGTTAATATCCCTGCCCTTCATGTGCCAGCGGGGCTGCTGTCTGTACCCAGGCCAGCTGCATTTCTCACCTGAAAAGCTATGGACTGTTGAACCTCCTCAGCAAAATCCTTGAAGGTCCTTTCCATGTTTATGCCTCGCTCAGCCAAAATAAACTTGCACAATGACCTTGCCGACAGATGCCTGGTAATGAGGTCACAGAATGGAGTAATATTTTCAGAAAATTGCTTTCCAAGGTAATAGATGCTCTGATTCGTTTCCTTTGCCTACTTTCGGCTTTCACATGCTTAGGCGGTTTAACGCGACAACCACTCGGTATTGCTGTTCTTTCAAAGGTCACACCGAGACTCCATGAACTTTTAGCCTGGAAGGTATTTTTAACAAATTATATGTTACGCTATTTTAAAAAAATCTCAAAGTCTTATTGTTGGTTTTCTGGTAGTTTCTCCTTAACCTTGACCTATTTCCTATTGCAGTTTCAACTGACTCTGCATTATGAAACGGTGCTTCACTGATTGTTTCTGACATCTACAGATATGAAACTAATTTTCCCTACTTTAAAATAAGTACAGTATAACGAGGCAAATGACGATAGGATATATTGTGCTCAGCATATTTAATAAGTATTTCATTATAAAAAAAAAGCTTTTTTTTTTTTTTTAAATTTGAAAACAGAGTTACAGAGAGAAAGAGAGAGCGAGGTTCCAACCACTGGTTCACTCCCCACATCATTATAATATATGAGACTGTGCCAGGCTGAAGCCAGGAACCTGGAACTTCTTCTGGGTCTCCCACAGGGGTGGCAGGGGCTATCTGTACTTGAGCCATAGTCTACTGATTTCTAATTAGCAAGGAGCTGGACTGGAAGTGAACATCTGGGTCTCAAACTGGTGCCCATTAGAGATTAGGGATGCCATTACTGCAAACAGTGGCTTAACCTACAATACCACAACACTGGTCCCTTACCGACCATTTCTAGTGAATAAAGTATGAGGAGTCTTCAACAAGTTCATGGAAAATGAGTCTTATTAAGAAAAATTGTAAGGCCCAGCACGGTAGCCTAGCAGCTAAAGTTCTCGCCACGAACATGCCAGGATCCCATATAGGCACCAGTTCTAATCCTGGTGGCCTTGCTTCCCGTCCCAGTTTCCTCCTCTCTGACTTGCAGCAAGAGTAAGAGAATGCTATCACAGACACGTGGGGACCGTCTGCATGGCTGTAGCTGTGGGCTGCCTCCCGCTTGTTCCGCAGTAGTGACTTGGATGATCTTTATGCTCTCTACTTCCTGCCTTTGGAGTGCAGACATTAAATACACACATAGAACAGTGAATCACAAAGGAGAGAGAAATAGGACAGCTTTTGTAATGTTTTATATATATATTAATAACAGGGGCCCATGGATGGGCTCACAGAGGTCAAAGATGAAATAAATTTTTCTGTTAGCGAATACGGACAGACCTTAGCTCCAACCAGACAGTAGTCCACCGGGGTAGGGGCTGTTTCTGTCTGGCTCACTGCTGCATCCCCGACCACCTAACATATATACAGTGTGCCTTAAATAGACAGATGCTGAAGCAATGATATGCAGGATGCTAAATGCTAACAGAGGCCCAGTATGAGAAAAAAATGAATTAGGAGGCAATGAGGATAACAGAACACAGTGGGGGCTGCCGATGCCCCATGCATTGTATTTGAAAGCAGGAGACACACTCAAAATAAAATAAGCCCCCTACAAAGAAGTTACACTATGTGCAAAAAAAAAAAGTATCTATTCATCAGCAGGACTAAAACTAAAATTAAACATTAAGGTGAGAGGCTGGCATTGTAGCACAGCGAGTAAAGCCAATACCAACATCCAGGTTCAAATCCTGGCTGCTCCACTTTTGATCCGGCTCCCTGTGAGTGAACCTGTGGAAGCAGCAGAGGGTGGCCCCAGGGCTTGGTGCCTGCATCCACAAGGGAGATCCAGGGTTTTTTGTTTTGTTTTTCAATTTTCTATATATAATCGTTTTGAATGATGCCGTAGGGCATGAAAAATCCAGACAGTGTATTCATTGGTGTGTAAATAAATATCTGCACTTGGTTTGTAAAATCCAACAATGCTAACTGCAATATTGAATTAAAAAGCTACAGGCCTTCTCCTCTTTGTTCCCTGTACATGGGACCAATTTTAAGTCAACTCTCCACTTTCCGATGCCAGGAGATGGAAATTTCAGCTCTCCTCCTCTTTCTCTCCCTTCCCCCATCCTCCTAACACAGACAATCCCAGCTGTCAAACCCTTAGTCCCTGTTCTCCTTATTACAACATGAATGCTGTGTCCTGCTGAGCTCAGTTGTGCTGTTATATTGCCTTTCTTCTAAGCTTCTGTTATTTTCCCAGAATTCATGCCTATGCCCCTCCCGCTTCTTCCTTCCCATTTCCCATCGTCTCCCTCTTCATATTGTCTCAGGGCTGAGGTGCAAGTGTGCTGGTACCAGCTGCGTGTAAGCCAGTATGTGTTCAGACTGGGCACAGCACAGACTGTCCCATCCCTGCACAGGGCCACACCCATTAGCGACTTTTCCCTGAGACATGCCTCTTGGTGTCTTTGATCCCCCACGTCCAGTTTGGACCAGTTACACTTTGGACTTGCTGTATGACATTCTTTGAGGAAATTCCTAACATCTCCCTTGTTTGTTAACCTGCTTGGCAGACCTCATAGACTTCCATTTTTTGTGGATTAATCCTCAGCTTCAGCAGAATACATTTACTTGCACAAGGAATGCAATAATTTTGTGACTTTCCATGCTTAGAATTATAAAGCCAAATATTCTTTCTGAATTCATACATGACTGATGAAGGGCACCTCTGTGTTATCAGATTTTATGCCCAAAGTAAAAACTAACCTTGGATTGAAAATATTTGGAAAATAATCAGCTATGTAGTGAACACATAGATTCCTTTCTTGTCCCATAAGTAATTTTGAGATTACTTAAAATATTTTCCTGCTGGACTATGGCCTTTTACTTTTTATTGGTTGAACTCTATTTAGTAGCACCATAAAGCATGTAACTCTAACATAAATGAAAAATGTATTATCTCAAACAAATGCATCAAGCTGAAGTAAAGTATGTAAGAGGCAATGTATAGTTTATATGCAAAAAGTATGCCATTTTACACTAGGGACTTGACTGTCTGGATTTTGGTTATCTGAGCAGGGGCCCTGGAACCAATTCAGTGTGGTTTTTCACGATTAGAAACTTTATACCATTCTGATTCTAGATCACTTGAATTTAACATGTTTTTAATCTTTGGAATCTGCATGAATGACTTCCTTATTACTGATGTTTTGGGGTATCAATGATCGCTTAGTACTGATCATTCTTTTAATTCATTTTGTTGCACACTCTGTGGACCCTTTGAATCTGGAAGTTTCTGTCTTTCAATTCTGAGAAATGTTGCATCATTTCTTTGCATGTGTTGAATGCTGAATCTCATGGATGACTTTTTTTTTCAAATATGGAAATTAGACAATGTGTTTGCATTAAGAAATAAAAAGTAAATGATCTTCTAAAATACACCCTTAGGCAAATTTTTTTCCCATTTTTAGAATTCACCTATAAACCTATCTAAATAAAAGAAAAAGCCTTTTACAGACCAAACAGGAAAACTGTAAGATACTTATAATTAACAGCCGTTAAATAATAGTTGGCAACAGTTTAGTGTTGCATAGTTAATGTCCATTTAGTCTTCAGGGCAACACTGCAAGGTTTTAATTTGAAAATTTTGTCTGCCAGGTTTTAGTATGAACTTTTTGTCTTGATTATATTAATTTTGATTTTTTGAGCCAGAGAGCACTAAGAACTGAAAACACCCTTGGCTTTGCCTTTGAGATGATAAGAAATTGCAACTTAGCTAGCATTATTTACTTCCATAGCATTCTTGTTTTAATTCAAGATAACTCAGAGTTGAGCTCAAAAGCACACTAGTATTTATTCTCAATTTAACTTAAAGCAATAAAGTTAAATCTTCCCTCTGAGGCAGAAACATGACACCATTGTTTACTGCAACTCCCATTGCATGCAGTACTATGCTTTTACATATGCTCTATCAGACAAGCACATGTCATTCCCAAGGCATACATGAAGCAACTATGGAAAACAAAAATAAGCCAGGTTGCGTAAGAGGGACCCTGGAAAGTCACAATGAACACGTTCTTGGTTTGAAGACCAGCTTTTCTTCAAATACTACACATCAAAATCAATCACGTTATGGTTCTTAAAATGAGCCACACCAATTACTACATGCAAGGAATTCTAAAAGCCATAATGCAAGTTTTCACAGAAGGTATTCATGATAACTTAGCTTGCATACACAACAAATAACATTAGTAATAGGCAAAAAAAAAACTCAAGTTCTAAGAAAAGAATTTTTTCATGCTTTATTTTAAATAATCAGTTACCTCAAATTGATTGAAGCAGAAATGCGGAAGTAAGCCAGAAATCCTACCAAGATATTGCCACCAACAGAAAGAGAGCGAGTGAGAAGACCAAAGACAAAGAGAGAATGAGCACCTTTACAGAAGATTCGTGAAAACTACTTATAGGCTGTGATGTGGGAATATTATGACACTATGACATTTTCATGTATGTTTATTGACTAACCACTCATTTCATGGCATTCAAGAAGCTTCAAACTATTGAGTAGAGAAAATAGTGCTAAAAATGTCCTTAAGTTTAAGAAAAGAATAAAATTATTCTTTACACTAGTAGAAAGAGAATAAAGCAAAATTCCGCCATTTATATTCATCTGAGATTTCGAGTTACCTTACTTTATCTGTGACTTAATGTGACATTGGATAAATAAGGTCAATGAAAAAATTACCTTTACTGCTGCAGTGACAGCAGCAGAAGCTGCCAAGTTTAAGCCTTGCCGTCCAAAATTCACCACGGTCTCATAGCCTTTTTCCTTTGCTTGTACAATATAATCATCAATTTCCTGTGGTTGGGGGGAAAACACCACACATGTTAACAGTATTCAAATAGAGCGTTACGAAGCCAAGGTTTTCCTTCCAAACTACAATAGCTTCACTAAATTTTACATCATAAACCATGTGTCAACATATATCTGTAAAACAGGAGTTGTAGAAATAATTGACATGTCTTACCCTCTCCTTTGAAGAAAGAAACGGATGAAGGAACTTTCTGTATATTAAACTTGCTCCTTTAGTATAGGGACTGAGCAGCCATATGACAAAAGCAATCTTCAGCTCATAATACAGGGGAAACCTAGCAGGAAACAAATTGGAGGAAAAGGGCAGGTGAAAAAATAAACTACAGAGACCGTGGCAATCACAAAGAGACTTTTGCAAAAGTTCACTTATCAGGTTAAGTTGTCACATGTATACATTAGTGGTCAGGGAAACAACCTTTTTTGCATTGATGAATTCATCTGTTTTAATGACAGATCTGTACACTAAAGGAGTGACCTGATCCCTAAGAGAGTCACACCTTCCGGGCCAGGATTCAAGTACAAGAATCCTGAGGTAGGGAGAAGGCTGCTGAATGGACTGTGGCAGTGAAGGGAGTGCAGTAACAGCATTTAGTTGTAGCAGTGAGGTGTAACCACCCAGTGTGCAGAGGCAAACTGCCATGCAAGTACCTAGCACACACTGCAGTATCAAGGTATAAATTGATGTGCTCTCAGTACAAAATGTTAACCACATGCACGCATCTCCTTATGTTTCTCAGAACTCTTGACCCTGCTCTCATTTGGTCAGAATTGCAGCACTCTGCAGATCTAACACCTTCACTTACAAGGGGAAAGGGATTACCACTGTGCTGGGTGGGACATGGGGTACAGCGCCTTCCCTGGAAGGCTGAGTCCAGTTTGATGATGGTGCATCTGGCCAGGCCACTTGTTTTGGCCAAGAGAATGTGAATGTGACACGTGTCACATGCTAACAGAAAGTCAAATGCTCTTTGACCCCCTCCTCCAGTACAACTCTTTCTACTGTGGGAGCAGACACAACTGAGCGGAGACCACAGAGCTGCCTGGTCTCACACAGCTTGAGGGAGAAGTCAATGGGTTTTTAATCCCACTGTGTTTTTTGAATTGTTTGTTGCCACAGCAAAAGGGAACTCACGTAGCACGAGGTGGTCCATGAGGCACTAATGCATATATGGTAAACTGCAAATCTCAGTTCTTCCGGCAGGTAGGGAGCAGTGAGGAATGACCACTGTGTAGTCAACCAAGAGTCACTGCTGGTGTGTTACTTCCTGACACCTGCAGACTTTGCATTGCTCAAGTACAGGTTTTTTCACATATGTAGTCAGAGCAGGGAAAGAAAAACAGAAGCCTCTAAAAAAAGAACTTTGAAACTTAGGATAAGTAGCAAGATGTGGGATCAGATCTGTGTTTTGCCATCTAAACACAAACAGAAAGACAAAGACAGGACTGACAAGCAAATGAATGAACATGAGCACTGGGGAAGGGAAACTTGCATTTCAAAGCAGAAGAGAAAAATGGATACAGATACAGAAGAACTCACATGTAAGTGCAGGTTGTTAAGAATAGTTTATACACGGGGACGTGCACAATGGTTCAATTGGCTAATCCTCCCCTTACAAGCACCAGGATCCGTTAAGGGTACTGGTTCTTGTCTTGGCTGTTCCACTTCCCATTCAGCTCCCTGCCTGTGGCCTGGGAAAGCAAAAGAAGGATGGTGCAAAGCCTTGGGACCCTGCATCCATGTGGGAGACCTGGAGGAGGCTCCTGGCTCCTGCCTTCAGACTGGCTTAGCTCTGGCTGTTGCTGCCATTTGTGAAGTGAACCAGCAGACAGAAGATCTTTCTGCCCTTCTCCATGTAAATCTGATCTGCTTTTCCAATAAAAATAAACAAATCTTTAAAAAATATTTACACATGATGACATCTTTTTTTTTTCTAGTAATTCTGATGGGATCTAATGTGCCACGAGAGCATCACAACAGAGTGGGAAGCGCAGTGGAAGGACGGAACAAGTAAAGGTCTGAAACGTACACAAGAGCGAATGAAGTAGCCGCTGGCCAAAAAGAAACAAAAGGAATGCTGAGGTTCAAGCCCACAAATGGGTGAGTAGATGACTGATTTTTTTCAGGTGCCGTTAAGTATCCCAGACAAAGAAGTGTAGAGTGACTTGGTGCCCATTTCGGCTGCAGTTTGTGGGTAATAACAGCTGCAGATACTGCAGAGGTAGTTAAGTTTGAATGCTTTGCAAAGATGAGTTCTTCCGGTGATGGCATGGTCATACGGACATGTCCTACTGAAACAGCATTCAAACAGAGTGAAGTTGTTGCATTCTGCTGCTTGGTAGAATATTCGATTCTTGAGAAAATAATAAGCTTTGCTCGTGCTTCCTGCTATTTGGAAGACCTGGATGTTGATGCTGTTGGTCATAAGGAGGAGTCGTTCAGGAAGGGAGAGAGGGAAACAGTGGGTGTTATCAGTGTAGAAAAAGGATGGTAACAACAAAGGGTTTCTATTCTCAGATACTGGAGGGAGGGCGGTGTGTGCAAAGTGGATAGGGAGCAGCACATAGGGAGCTGCCTTTGCGGCAGAGCTTAATGGAGAGCACTGATCTAAAAAGAAAGCACATGAAGAAATGAGATGCTAGAGAATTAGGAAGCTTGTTCAAATTCACACAGCTACTTGCAAGAGCAGGCTAAGAACACAACACCTGGTGACGAGTCTGTAGTCTGGCCCCTTCTCAACACAAGAACTTACCAAGCAACTGTTAAATCCGCTACTGTTTCGATTACAGTATAGAGAGCAAAAACAATCCAGTACATCATCCATCGAACCTGAAAATAATACAGATACTCATGAAACAACAGGTAAAAAAAATTATCTGCAACTCTTGAGTAATTTTACCTGTGTGTATGTGTGTGTACTTTTAGGTACATAATATGCTGGGTCAAAAACGTTTAGGTCCTTACATATAAACAGCTAGAAAAGTGAAATATTTAGCTTTTTTTCTCTAAATAGATCAACTACTTTATTCTTTACACTTAGAGGCAGATGAGAAATTATTATTCAATCTATTAAATAAAAATCAATTATATGTACCTTTTACATACTACATTAAGTTTCCCCAAACACAAATTGAAAACATCAGCATGCTTGTTTAATTTCAGTACAATGGAGTCAAGACCCAGTGTGCATGTTACATTCATCAAAGCAGATGACAAATGATCACAGTCCCTGTCATCAGTCACCACCACCACCACCACCACCACCACCATCATCAAGTTTTCTTTTCGGTGCACTTGATGCATTGGCAGTATTGTGTGATGACATCATTTCAGTGATAGTAAGAATGTTTTTGAAAAAAAAAAAGAACGTTTTTGGACTCATTTACTGCTGAATTAATCAGAACATTCTAGAGTGCTAGTGTTACAGGAATTGATGCTTTTTCCATGGCAGGTGACTGTAAAGCAGGCATCTGTATTGTAAACCTTTATCCAGTGAGGACACTGCAGCAGCAACGTTAGTTGAAAAAGATGTGGTTTGTGGAGTTCGTGTGTCTAGATTGAGAATACTTGTTCTGCTAGTAACTGGTCTAACTTTCAACAGTGAAACAGAGGAACACTGTATATGTTTTTTGTTTTCTTTTTAAAATAGTAACGTTAAATCTGTTGCTTGAAGCTGCTAAGCAGTATCTATCATGTGGCAATCTAGAATTGGAATATGGACTGATTATTGGCAAAGGGGCCTGGCATATTTGCCTTGCAATTTCTAATAAAAAAAATTCTCCTGGGGGAAGAGAGGTAAAGACTGGCTGGCACAGCACTCGACACTCGACTGCCAACTGCACAGCGTCTGTATCAACAGCTTTCTTAGTCTGAATAAAATTACTATTTGCCTCATCTAGAATTGTGGTTATATATCAGAAGTCAAACTTCAACATCTGAGTTATAACTCCTGGCTCATATTCGGTAATCCCCACTTCCTTTTGGATTTGTGCCATCATCTATGTATCCTTCAACACATTTTGGGGAAAACTTGTCAGAGTCTACGTTATCTAGTGATTGGAATTCTTGAGCAAAATCACCCGCATTAAAGCATTCCAGTCCTGATGTTGATCCAAATTCTTCGTCCAGTGTGGCCAGGAGCTAGGAGGTTCTTCCTGGTTTCTGATATGGGTGGCAGAGGTCCTACCACTTGGGCCATGTACCAGTCCTTTTCTAGGCTGTCAGCATGGAACTGGAGCAGAAGTGGGCAGCCAGAACTTGAAGTGGTGCTCATATGGGAAGCCTGTGTCACAGAGGTTTTATCCTCTAAGCCACAACACTGACCCCAAGTAAGTAAAATCTTTTTAAAAAATTTATAAACCCATGTATAGACTTTTCATCTCACATATTTCCATGGAATTAAAAAAATATTTATTTATTTTTATTGGAAAATCAGATATACAGAGAGGAAGAGAGACAGAGAGGAAGATCTTCCGTCTGAAGATTCACTCCCCAAGTGACTGCAATGGCCAGAACTGCGCCTATCCGAAGCCAGGAGCCAAGAGCTTTTTCCAGGTCACCCACGTGGATGCTGGGTCCCAAGGCTTTGGACCATCCTCTACTGCTTTCCCAGCTACAGGCAGGGAGCTAGATGGGAAGTGGGGCTGCTGGGATCCCGGAGCATGCAAGGCGAGGATTTTAACCACTAGTCTACTGTACCAGGCCCTGGAATTTTTAAAAGCTCCCCGTACATTCATGGATTTAAAAATTATTTTGCACCCAAATACACTGATCTTTTAAGTCTGTTTCTACAAACTTTTTGAAGTCTTACCTCCTATAGGGTCACTGATTTATGATATCATCATCTCAAATTTTTTAAAAAATGAAGAGAAAAAGAACAAATCTTGCCTTTAGTTTCTCACTTTTAGTGACTGGCTGCTTTCCATTCTCTCACCACAGCCACTCTCCAACTGCGGCTGAGTGGGGGGCAGGTGTCTGCCTTGACTTTCTTTCCCTCTCATTCTGCCCCCAACATGTTAAAAAGAAAAAAACAAAACAAAAAGGAGATAAGGCTCTTATCTTCTCTTTCTAAATGCAAACACTAGTACTTTTACCTCTCAAGTATGTTCACAAAGTTTTCTTAACCTGGTTGACCTCAGGCCTTGCTTCCAAGAAAGAAATCAAGAGAAAACGACTACCAGCAGAACATCCTGCTTTGATAGCACTAAAGGGGATCCTGGAGGTGATCACATTTTAAAAACTAAATCATAGTTTTACTGAAAAAAGAAAAATATTGTAAAATACATCACCAGCAACACTCTTGAGGCTGGATCTCTTCCTATTCTGACTTCGGAGTCTTGGGGAGATTCCAAAAAACCCCAGTGGCTTCACGGGACAGAGTTTAAAAACAAATACTGTGGTAAACTATTCCTGTTTCACTGACAGCACAAAACAAACAGTTGCTGAAGGTCCAAGGGACAGGAAATTGGTGACACGGGCACCAGGAGGGCCTCAAGGAGGCTTCAGAGAAGTGGCTACCACCAGGCCAACCTAGGGAATGTCAGTGCTAACACCATCCCCTTTTTCCTGGGAAAGAAGTCTTCAATTATCCTTGGTTCCCCTTAACTCTGGGAAAACTGTCAGAAAAAGAAAAGTCTCAAGCCATGTTATTTCTCATTCTTTCACAACCATCATTTGCTTATGATCTCGCAGAGGGATGGCAGCCGCAAGTAATGCTCCACAGGATTTCTAGGTCGCCGGTTAAGGGGGCTGCTTGGAGGGACTGCAGAGAGGGGCTGTTTGCAGACACGCCTCTGATGACTGGCTCTAGAACAGATGAGGGTTGCTACACAGCCCCCAAATTTCAAATACACATGTGCTTCAGTTGCGAGCTTAATTTTAAAATTAATTTTAAAATTCACAAGTTAAATAAGTGCTATTTTACATGTGTTCTCTAATAAAGAACTATATATAAATCTAGGTTATGAGAATGTTTGATTATGTCAAATAAACCTAAAAAGGAGAAAAAGATGAAGGTTTTGATGTTTAAGTTAAAACCAAGCAGTGGTTAAGGCACTGTCTGGGATGTACTGTTTTCCTCTCCAGAGTCTCAGCTCCACTTCTGACTCAGCTTCCTGCGACTGCACACGCTGGGGGCAGCAGGTGCTCACGTTCCTGCCACCCTCATGGGGAACCCAGCTCAAGATCCCTGCCTCTACCTCGGCTCTGCTTCAGCTCTGACTGCTGTGGGCTCTTGAGCAGAGACCCAGTGCAAAGATCTTTCTTTCTCTCTCAAAGATAAGTAAATACATAAAAGCAAAAGTAAAAACTAAAAACCAATAAACTAAACACCCTAACTCTACATACATTCTATTTCTATAAAACTTGACAATCTGTTCTTGAACTTAAGAATTTCTTCATCCTCCTATCCGAAACACGAACCTTACATACAGTTGAATCCAGCCAACAATTAAATGAATTCAGTTAGCACGTGTTATTTGTGGGAGGCAAATTAACCTTGAGAGTATATAGTTTTCTTTATTCCATTAATGGATTTGGTTGGGATTTTATACCAAGTGATTACTCAGCAAAGCTTTTATTAAACTACATTTCAAGGCCATTCAGCCTACTGTTTAAGGTTTTGACCAAAGGAAATAACAGAAAAAAATGAAGGTCAATTAAAAAAAAAGAGAGCCATAAAATTTTAAGTATTATTGGATATACACACATATACATACATAATATTTTAGATAATCCAGAAACTTTAATAGTAAAATAAAATGTTAATAGAAAAAGTTGGTAGGAAAATAATCATATTGATAATCTTAAAGATATAAGAAGCCGAAATTAACCAAATTACTGTTAAAATGTAAGGAACAAGGAAATCTGTAACTGGTTGTGATCAATTAGTTGTAAGCACCACTGCACTCAGACCAGCCCCACATTACTGTTAAAATGTAAGACACAGATAAGTGAAATCTTTAACAGATCATAATCCACCTTTTAAGATACTGGGAGAGGTTACCAGCATCACGTTTATCAGCAAAAACCTGTTTTTGAGAAAGTAACAATAATATTTCTTCTTCATAAGCAATTGGTAAAATCAACAGCTGCTGTTTAGATTTTATCACAAAAATAAGGGATAATATAAAATATGTGTTCAAAGGCCACTGTTCTTGCTAGGACAGGAGGCGGACAAAGTCAGCCTGGGCCAGCGACCCACTGGAGTGTGCAAGAACTGCCACTGGGAAGAGACACGATGGAGGAGCTTGGGAAACCCCATCATTGGGATACGGTCCCTGCAGGTGAACGCCAGAAGCAAGGCAAGGAGCAGCCCAGACCACGTTGCAGTACCCGGCAGCATACATGTGGGTCAGGTCTGGGGGCAGACAAGTCTGGGCCAGCACATGACACCCACTGGCAGATCTGAGAACCAGGGCAGGGGGCAGATGGAGCCAGATCTAGCCGCAACACCAGCCAGTTTACATTAGGGCTGGGACAACAATCAGGCTGGGCTGGGACAGACTACAGCATCCACCAGCAGGAGCTCGAATAGGGAGCAGGCTACCAGACCAGGCTGCGCCATAAGATTGTGGATGCTAACGTGAGGCGAGTGACACCAGCCTGAGTCCAGTGGGGGCCGCATTCGTGAGTCCCAGTGATGAGGGATCTGACAGGGCTTGGCTCAAATTCCCTCCCCGTCCCACCACGAAAATTCTTACAATGCCCTAGAAGGTCCTCCAGACATGGCCAGAGCTATCTGTGACTTGCACAACTCCTCCCCTGGGTCTGCTCCAGCCACACTAGTGATTTTATTGTCCTTGGATGTATGGACATCACCACCCCTACCT